TGAGGATGACAAAGTGAAACTCTGTTTCAAGAAAAAAAAAAAGGGCAGAGAAGGCTGAGGCAAATATTGGAACTCATCCATGTCCTGGCCAGGTGGCAGGTCCCCTCCTCTGGCTCTGCATCCATGTCAGATGTAGAGTAGGGAACATGGACCTGCCAGCCTTGGCATGACCCCTGCATCCTGGCCTCTGAGCAGACTGGGGTTTGAATTAAACCTGCATTTCCCAGTGTGAATCCATTAGGAGTATTTCTCATGTATATGTTGTCTAAAAAGTGACTTAAATACATTTGAAAGTAAGACATATTAATCACGGTTGGGGGACTTCAAGGCAACTGTGAGAAGCAGAGGGTTCTCAGGGTTCTATGGAATATTCTGGAAATCTCCAGACTACAGTCCCTCAGAGGTCTCCTAGAAAGTCAAACTCCCCATTGGAGGAAAGGGCACTGAGGGATAGGGCCTCAGCTGTCCTCTGGAAGGTCCTGGTGGGGCACGGTGTTGGGTGGTAGTAGGGTTTGAACCCCAGAAGAGGGCCTGTGATCTAACTATAGTCACCTGTCTCTTTCTAGGCCAAGAACTTGGATTTCTATAAGCTGGAGGTAGGTCCTGGGATGGGCAGGGATTTGGCCTCTGTCCCCAGCCCAAGACTTGACTAATGAGTCTCATGTTCTAGATTGAGCGCTGCAGAAAGGCACTTGGCAGGACCCGGGTGAAGTCCTCTGTTTGCCTTGAGGTGTGAGTGAAGAGGGCAGCTGGAGACCCCCACCCCACAGCCCTTGTCCTCGAGGCCCCACCCTGCCCAGTGCTTTGCACTGTCCCCTCCAGGTACCTGAAGTTCAGCGCCCAGCACAGACTGCATGACCCCATCCTGTCTGGATGCCTGCCCAGCAACCCATGGATCACAGATGATGCTGCCTATTGGGCCATGAACGCGCCCACGTGAGCCCTGGGCTGGGCGGGTGGGGACTACAGTGGCACCCAGAATGGGGCTGGTACAGAGTCAGCCCCCAGTCACCCTTGGCCCCCTCTCCCTTCAGGGTGGCTGCACCCACAAGGCTCCGCATGGAGCGCTGGGCCTTCAGCTTTCGGGAGCTCCTGGAAGACCCCGTAGGGCGGGCCCATTTCATGCACTTTCTCAGGAAGGAGTTTAGTGGTGAGAAGCCCCCAGCCCTCCTGCTCTTGGCCCCATGAGGGAAGCTGCTGCCTGAGACCCTTTTCCCCAACTCCTTTGAGTCGTCCTGGCCCCTGACTGGGCGCCTGGTCCCCTCAGCCGAAAACCTCAGCTTCTGGGAAGCATGTGAAGAGGTTCGCCATGGAGAGCAGGCACAGATCCCTCTCCTGGTGGACACCGTGTACCAGTGAGTGTCATGGGCCGGGGGCTGGCTGGCTGGCTGGCTGTCGGGCACAAATGTCCTACCTGGACCACTGATGCTGTCTTCATTCCTAGGCAATTCCTAGCCCCTGGTGCTGCCCGCTGGGTCAACATTGACAGCCGAACAATGGAGCAGACCCTGGAAGGGTTGCACCAGCCCCATCGCCATGTCCTGGATGATGCCCAGTTGCACATATACATGCTCATGAAGAAGGTGGGCCCTAGATCCAGGAGCACAGGAGGCACAAGGCTGGCCTTGCCATCTGCACACTCACTGACCATGCTGCCCTGTCCCTATGGGAGCTCCTTCTTAGGGCCCAGCTGACCTGGGGACCTTGGCACATGGTGCTGGATACTCTACTATGATTGCTCAGTCCTGAACTCACTCTGACCACAGACAGCAAACAGGTCAGAGGGGCTGAAGGACCTGCCAGGTCACATGCTTAATAAGCGTCCAGCTTTGATTTGGAAAAGCATTTTTTTTTTCTTTTAGAGACAGAGTCTCACTTTTTTACCTTTATTAGAGTGCCATGAAGTCACAGCTCACAGCAACCTCTGGATTTAGGCGATTCTCTTGCCTCAGCCTCCCTAGTAGCTGGGACTACAAGTGCCCGCCATGACACCCGGCTATTTTATTGTTGCAGTTTAGCCAGGGCTGGGTTTGAACCCGCCACCCTGGGTATATGGAGCTGGCGCCCGTCTCACTGAGCCACAGCGCCGCCCGGAAAAGCATTTTAATATAGAAATTTTGATTTAAAAATAAATCAAAATGATGACACCTTGGGGAGACTGAGGCGGGCAGATCACTGAGCTCAGGAGTTCAAGACCAGACTGAGCAAGAGTGAGACCCCCATCTCTACTAAAAATAGAAAAATTGGCTCAGCGCCTGTGGCTCAAGCAGCTAAGGCACCAGCCACATACACCTAAGGTGGCGGGTTCGAATCCCCAGCCCGGCCCACCAAACAACAATGATGGCTGCAACCAAAAAATGGCCTGGCGTTGTGGCAGGTGCCTGTAGTCCCAGGTACTTGGGAGGCTGAGGAAGGAGACTCGCTTGAGCCCAGGAGTTGGAGGT